GCTGTCTCAAACACAGCGGATTGTAAGGTCTTATGCTATGTGATAGTCTCACATTATATCTACCATTGTGTTCTCCTTGTTTAATATTGATTTTGCTGGATTTATCATTTGCATCTAGATGATCTCCCCTGCTTAGCATCTGCATCAACTGACAGCTTTATAGTAGTAAATGAGGTGACTTAACGAAGAGCTTAGAATTTTGGTAATATCTATCACAGTAGCTATCTGTAAATTATTGATTACTCTGGATCTGTCTTTACTTGTTTTATTACTATAAGGAGTCATAGAAGTCACGGGATTAATTCACAGTTTTCAGATACATAAAAGGCTTAACACAGTGCCTGGTCATATTACAGGAAGTGAGCTACATATATATATAACGTATAAAGAATCAATAGAAGCATCATCAGTAAATATGAGATTCCACAAGGTGCCTGCACGTATATCACTGAATTATTATCCTCCAGTGAAAGTGTTTTATTTGATGTTAGGGATAGTACAGTTATTATGTAAGTAGATTCTTTTGTTCAGTCCCGCCTTCGAAACATTAAGGTTCTGATGACGCTAAGAATATAAATGGAAAGATATACGTGACAGCGTAAGTCTCAACAATTTGGGATATTCCCTCTCCTCCAAGTCTCTCATCTCCAGAAAAAACTTCTAAAAAGAATTCATTCTTTTTATATATGAACATTATATTCACCCATTGCTAGTGACTCCCACGAAACAATACATTAATACCATCTATTTAATGAAAGGTTTTAAACAGCACTTTAAGTTTAAAGTTTGGTAATACTCCAGTCTACCGGGTCCCCATTGTGCCATTGGCCACACGATGATATAGCAAATGAATCTGTTCGAATAGTTCTTGGTTGAGAGGGGAGTGGGAAATTGCTTTTAAGGGAGACAGTTTGAAGACAGGCTGTGTGTTGGTTCTCAGCTGTATTGCTAGGGCACTTCCCTGTGGAGGTAGGTGGCGAGGATACTCTAAGTCAGGAGTCTATCGACAATTCCTACTGTAGCAACGAGAAGACCTTTCCCTATGTGTTTCTACTAAAAATAGAAAAATTAATTGGCCAAGACTAAAAACATACTAGTAAAAAATGCCGCGTGCGATTCTCGCTTGGTGGCGAAATCTGTAGTCCTCTAGCCTACTTGGGTAGGCTGTAACAGCTTTTTAGAGGTGATCTGAGCCACGGAGTTGAGATTGCTAGAGCTAGACTGTGGACTGCGGTCAGACCACCACTGGTGGCCACCCTTCTACCCTGGGCACACCCAGAGGTGAAGACTCTATCAAAAAAAAAAAAGAAAGAAAGAAAGAAGGAAAAAGAATGTAGGATACTGGATAACGTACATTCTAAATCACATCACTAAGATTAGGGCCACAGCAGGGTCACACGACAACAGAGATGACCCGATTTAGACCAAAGGAACATGGTCAGTCAGATGTCAGCCAGAAATCAAGCCACACACAAAAAGATACAGTGAACAACACCAAGAAACGAAAGCGCAAATATAGAATAAGCAAAAATGACATATATGCACAACATAATTAATCGTGCTAGTAATTTATAGCAGTCACTTCCAACGACGATGGCTTGCAATACCTCGAGTCCTGTAAATACCCTCAAGTCCTGTAAAAAAGGCATAGCCAAGCACTTTTTGTGTTTCTTACACTTCGAGCAAAAACTGTATAATACTTTGATTTATGCCTTTGGTGATTGGCTTAACTTACCAAAGAAAGTTTTTCCTACGGAGTCAGGAAGAAAAACGTAAATATAAATTTAAATTCAATATGTCCTATTTCTGGGAAGGCTCCTGCGTGATTGTCACTGATACGACAGCTGAATTTTTCCTAAGCCCACCCTTATGAATTATTTCTACATTACAGGATATAGAAAATAGTAGTTTACGTGCTATACTTTCAACGGTCTTTAAAAGAAACATTTGCACTGCGAGTGCACTGGCGCGTGTGGCTCACGCCTGTAATCTAACTCGATTGGAGGCAAGGCGGGCGTCATGATGTCTCGAGGTCATGAGAAATCGAAACCCATTTATTCCTGAGCGAAGACAGCGCCAACCGTCTCTCCATCATAAATACTCTGAGCATCGAAAGAACATTATGGCCAAATCTAATATATATAATACAAAAAAATTATAGCCAGCGGCGCTACGTGAAGCTAAGGACCTAAGGAATTGAACTGTATATTCTATTATTATTATAAAACAGATACTTGATTGAGGTTATCAGGAACTTAAGTAGGAATTTGACACAACGGACACATGGTCATGGTGGGAATGCCTGTAGATCCCCCAGCTACTTGGAGGTGACGGCAGGAGTGATTGCTTGACGCCAGGAGTTGATGTTGTCTGTCGAGCTAGTGCTGATGCCACGGCACTCCACTCTAGCCTGGCAACAAAGCGAGACCTCTTCTCAAAAAAAAAAAAACAAAAAAAAAAAAAGACTGCTGTATGGCGGGAAGAGGTGTGAAACTCAGGCCAAAAGATTGTCTTAACACTAGTGCAGTCCAGCCACACCCAGGAAGATTAAGGTTCTCTGGCCTGCTAGCGGGTCTTGTAGTAGCTGAAGTGAAAAACCAGTAAAGCCAAGCTCCTTTACACAATGAATTAGCTGAGAGAAAAGAAAAGCTTTCTAAGTGCTTTTCCCACTAACTATCATTTTCAAGTCATTATCAGGACAAGCAGAACTCACTCGAGTCTCATTTTGATGAATGGGAGGTGTCACTGCAATTATTTTGTTTATGTGGATTGTCCAGGATGCTCGAGGGTTCAAATCAGTATCTGTTAGAACCAGCATCTGATGGAAATCTTCAAACCCAACTCTAAATCCATCCTTTATTAACATATGGGGCCTCATGCATCTTGAGTGATAATGAGATGACTCTCCAAATTTTTAGAACCATGCTGTCAATAAAAATGTCATCAGCAGGGAGAACGTCTCATCAAAATTTCCAGGGTTGCCTCGTTGTAAAGGGAGTTGCTAGACACCTTGGAAAAGATCCCTGTCAGGTCTGCTTTTCTTTCAACGAATGAGAGCTCTCCCTGGGGCATTTCCAGTGATGCCTTTTTATACCTCCTTCATCCAAGACTTGCCAAGGAAGCTTATATTTAGGCAATAATTCACTCTTGTCTGGCCTTTGTTTTCCTGTCTCTCTAGGACTGAAGGGAGTAATCAGCTTGAATCTTGGAGAAATTCCCAGTTAATACAAAAAAGCAATCAACCGATTCAACTGTTGGTGAAGTATAGAAATGGCAGTTAACGTTCTTCCTTCATGTTTTGGAATAACTCCACTTTTATCTTCCTAGTGTACAATCAGATCCTGTGTCCAAATCTGTGTATTCATTTTTGAACTCCTTCTCCACTCAGTGTCTCTGCCAATTATGTTATTTTCGGGGTCTAGAACAGAACCAAATCTGTGAGCCATTCAATAAACATCTATTGGTAGTGACTAAGTGAAAAGCACCTATGGAGAATTAAAGATAATTTGCAAGTACTTTTATATACCTTCTGCTGAGAAGTGCAACCTTTGCTCCCTACCCTTGAATCTGGGCAGGCTTTGGGACTGCTTTGACCAGTAAAATATGCCAGAAGTGTTGCTCATGTGCTTAATATGGCAGACACTGCTCGTTGTGCCTCCAGTGTAAAATCCTGTCTTAGTAACAGAGCTTTGAATGTTAATTGGGTACATGCAAGCCCATACTAACGACTACATTCTCCAGCCTCCCATGCAGCTGGGTGGGCCTCACAACCAATTTTGGCCAATGATACGTAGCAGAAGTGGTTTCACAACTTCCAGGAGTGTCCTTTAGGGAGAGCCAAGCCTTTCTCTTTGGTACTAGCTGGAATCCAAATCTGTCACCAGAGCCCTCTCTGCCACCTCAGACCATGCCAACAAGGGCCAAGTCCTGCGGGTGGCAGGAAATAAAGCTGGCAGGAAAGTAGAACCCAGACTCATCTTTGGAACTGCCCGAGCGGCCTGGATTCTTAGTGGTCTCTAGAATTTTACATGAGAGGAGAAAAGTGTGTGGACTTAAGGCCGTCTTAGTTTTTGGTCAGATGCAGCGGTGCCTACTTTTAACTAAACCACTGTATATTAATTAGGTGCAGACTATAAAGATGGATGAGATGTGGCTCCTGCTCTTCCAGAGTTCTTAGTCTTTGGGGGAAGATACGAGTGAATCTAACAAGGCAGGGCTATGGAACAGATGGAACAAATATGTATTTCACAGTTCCTGTGTACCGGGGATACCTTTCTGTTCATCATCCCACCTTGTCTTCATAACAGTCCTGTGAAATAGCAATTTGTGTAAGGCAATGATGCCTGTGGCCAACATGCTTGTGGGCAGTCGCCTCTGATTTGGCTTTATCTTCCTCATAATACCAGTCTCCTGGCTGCTTGAAAGCTAAGGGGGAAGGTCAGAGGTGCTTATAGTAAAGACATCAGAAAGGTCTTTGGAAATAGTGGCAATGGGATGCTTTTGCCTACCTGAGCTCCTTAGGTGGGAAGAAGATGATGATGTCAGGGGGAAACCTTCACCTTTTCTATTGATCACTGCTGATGTCTAATTCTGCCAGTTCATGAATGTTCATGGTGAAAAAAATCTACTCTCCACTTGTGCAGAAATTTAGTTGCATATTCTTCTGGTCTTAAGAAAACCAATATAGTTTGTGAACGATAAATTAAGTGGGTAATTTTTCACTTTCTAGAAGAATTCTCTACTTTACCAAATGATTCACAAATATTCCCTCAAATAACATGATCTCCTATCATACTTAGAGTGTGATTCTTTTTACAAAAATTCAGTTAAAGTACAGAATTTTGAGAACTTGGGTGAAATAAACTCTCCCCCTTACTTATTGGGGTACTGGTTGGGTTTTGGAAGGCAACAGTCTAGCTTGTAGTCCACCTCTGAGTCTTCATGGTTTTAAATGAAATCATTGGCTCCACTTACGTTTTTCAATTTTATTTTCCCATTAGGAAAGAACGTGGCTCAGATGGATCTGCTAGAGGAAATGCACCAGGAAATCCCGAGCAGGGTGCAATCAGTCACCATTAATGTTCACAAGTATCAGAGCTACTTGAAGAAATACAGCTACTTATGGATGGACGATAAAATTGAATTCATGAAGCAGTTCCTTCTCCATGGGTGATTTCTTGGTGCTGAAGAACCAGAATTGCATGCAGACTGTGAGTGTCAGAACTCTACACTGCAGTTAGCACACTTTAAAGAACAGGTATTGAATTTTAGCTGAGTCTAGCATCATCTTTTTCAATTCCCTGGACAGCTGTTAAATCATGAAATATTTTGATATATAAAGCTCTTGCCTCTGAGAGGTCTTTCCTTTTTTTTTTAAGATAACATCTATGAAATATTATGTGAAGAAGTTGATAACTTTAAAAACCAGAAGATATTTAGTGGCTAGCTTCAAGTTGATATTAAACGTTTTAAAAATCAATGATGAATGTTATAAAAAAAATAGGGTTTGATGTTTAAGAAGCATCTGCTTACCCATGTAACCTGCAGGTAGCGTAATTTGAATCTGATTGTGAAAGGAAATTAAAATAACACAAATCATTTGATGAAACCACCCTCATAGAATTCTAATTTAACTCAAATAGTAAGTATTTTAATGGTTCTCCTGTGTGCTTATTTTTAATCTCATATTCTGTAAGTTACAAGAGAGTTGCTTTCATGCATGTGAATTATAATTCTCTTCTTGTAAAAACTTGACACAATGCTTATCCATTTGATTTGATTGCATTTGCGTGTTCATTAATATAATTGAAACATGTAGCTTCCCCCAAGTTTTCACAGGCTCATCCCTAATTAACTGTTGGCATTTTCTCACATTATATGTTAGTGTAACTGAGTAAGGGCAATTTATTGATGAAATAGGAAAAGGTCGGGCAGAGGAAGGGAAGGGAGTGTTCAGCCAGGGAGGATTCAGCCCGGTAGGACTGACTGGGGATCTGTGGGCAGCTGGACAGCCCCAAAAAATGGCCCCTGAAATCTCTGCTATTTTAACTGCTCAACTGAAGCTTCCAGAGAGATTTATATGGACATAAGTGATATGGACTCAAAAAAGAGGGTTTATCTCTGAGAGATAGTAGGTATTACTTTTCCCCAGCTTGGCTCCAAACCACAAATCAAAGGGGGACTCATGGTCTTCTAAGTATGCTCTATGTATTTACAGGGTATTTTTAAAGATTTAAAGATTTAATAGAAAGGTCTGTGAACTTGGAAGGAGAAAACAGAGGCTCTAATCTTTGCTTAGCCATTTTTGAGCACTGTGATCGTACATGGGTGAGAGTTAATCTGAGTGCATTTTCTCACAGCGCTGCTGTGGAGTTTACATGTAAGTTAGTTACTCAGTCTGTCTTGATGGCGTCAATCAGTATATGCTTGTTGAAACACAAGGCTTTTTTTTTTTTTTAAAGAAATCGAAGGTAGGGAATAAAATGCACAAAGGAGGTGGTCAATAAAATGGACAAGTGAGATTTAAATGGAGATGATTTTTCAAATTAAATGTTTAAAACCCTATTTTTTCTCCTTCCCCTAAAACTCTATTTTTGTCCTTTACAGGTTAATGTGGGAATATCTGACTGAAAAGAATTAAGAAACCTCCTCTACCCTTATTTTCACTTTTGCTTTATTCCCCTTTCTCTGTACAATAGAATTGTTATACTAACTGGCTATATTAACAAAATCAGTGAGATAAATTCATAGCAATCTAGAAAATTTTCATTTTAAAAACTCCACTTTTTATTTAATGACATTAAATGAAAAGAATTTGGTTGACAAATTTGGCAGGCACCCATTTCTGACAATAGCTGTGTTCCTTTTACTCTCTTATTGCAGTCCCATTATGTGCTTACATTCTTTTAGAAGGGCTTGGTTTAAACAAGTGACACAACCAAAGCCCTCTCTGCTCTCATCCGTGGGGAAGGAATGCTCCATCAGGGTAGCTGGTGGCAGCAGGCACAGTCAGAGCAGCCATTGTCACAGGGATTCTGCAGGTGAGGAGGACAGGATGCAATGTGGCAGGGCTGGGCCCAGTGAAGGACAATCATCAGGATCACACACACAGTGTCCTCCATGGAGACTAGCTTCTCCTGCACAGCAACTACCTTCTTATGTAGATCTGAAGTTGTTGAAAATCGGAATCAGCAGGTGTCTTTGGAGGAGCTCTGCCCTTCGAGGAGAGCTTGCCACTGCTTGTGAAAGGCCGAGGCTAACAAAGCTGAGCTTTCCGTCATGTGGTGTCTCCCCTACCCTGGAAAACTCCATGAGTTAACCATCTTTTCCATATAGAGAGGCTGTAGATAAATAGGAAGTGGTAAAATCAGCTAAGTAACCTATTGTGGGTCATACAATAGTAAATGACCGGTTTGTTTCATATTTTATCTGCTTTGGTACCTTGCAGACATGGTGCAATTAGGAAACTCCCTACTGTATATGTAAGTATATCACAAACAACAAAGAAATCTCTCCTTATGCTTAAGATCAACTAGACTCTATAACTAAAAATATATTTTAAGATCTTCATCTGAACTGTGGCATAGGTCATTTGAATGAAGCCCAGTTTGGAAAGGAGTCTCACTAAAAGTTGGGGGGCGGGGAGCCTGGCGTATTTGCACAAGTATCTTCTAAAATAATTAATAGCAAAGCATTCATGTCACATTGCTGGCTCCTCTAACAACCATCATATTTTCCTCACTTTGTTTGTCTGCAGTAACTGTTTCATGTGTATTACATTGAATTAAATATTTATTCGGGAAAAAAATGCCCAGAGGAAAGTAGAGATTAATAGCTGACAAAGTTGCCAGAATGTCATGGATTGATTATTCAGGAATTCAAACTCAGTTCTTGAATCTATAAATTGTTTGTGGGATCTAGGTTTTTTTTTTCCCTTCTGTTTTTTATTTTATTTACCAAATTTGCTTGCCTCAGATTCACAGGAGCAGAAGAAGCTGTACAGTTATAGAACCCCAAACTGGTATTTCTCAATTTTTGTTTCATGTGATATGAAGAATGTGAAAGAATTTGGATCACCAAGAAATGGAACTATAAACAAGGCTTAATGTAGGGAGGAAAGGAGAAGAAGGAAACCATAGGCCCTTTAGAGTCAGGGATTTTGACAAGGCTGATGTAGAATGCTGATGGAAGCTTGTGTCAACTTGCCTGGGCTAAGGGATGCCCAGATGATTGGTAAAGCATTATGTCTGGGTATGTCTGTGAAGGTGTTTCCAGAAGGGATTTGCATTGGAATGAGTGGGCTGAATAGGGAGATCTGTCCTCACCCAGTGTAGGTGGACACCATCCAGTTGTCTGAGGGTCCAGATAGAACAAAAAGGCAGAGGAAAGGCAAATTTGCTCTCTCTTCTGGACCTGGGACACCCTTCTTCTCCTGCCTTTGCATATCATAACCCCAGGCTCTCTGGCCTTCGAACCCTGGGACTTGCACTAGTGTCTCCTCCCCACCAGAGTTCTTGGGTCTTTGGCCTCAGACCAACAATCATACCATTGGCTTTCTTGGTTCTCAGGCTTTGGACTTGGACAGAGCTATGCTACCAGCTTCCCTGGTTCTCCAGCTTACAGACAGCCAATTGTGGAACTTCTCAGCCTCCATAATTTCATCAGTCATCTCCTCTAATAAATCCATTCTCTCCTATCTATCTATCTATCTATCTATCTATCTATCTATCTATCTATCTATCTATCTATCTATCTCTATCTATCATCTACCTATCTATATATGAATTCATTCTTCCTATTGGTTCTATTTTTCTGGAGAACCCTAACTAACACATATGGGAAAGAAATGGAAAAGAAAGGGATTAAATAAGCCAGTATAAAAATAGAAAATATAGAGAATTCAGAAGAATAGGAAAAAAAAGAAAAAACATAGAAAATAAGACTGCCCATTCAAGAAGACGCTGTGCTGATTGTTTCCAGGAATTCCAGTGTGGAAATGTGGATGGAAGAAGACATTGCCAAAGCAAGATGCAAGGTGCTCTGCTCTGAATATTTCTGTTCCCCACCCCAAAAATTCATATGTTGAAATCCTAACCCCCAAGGTGGTAGTATTAGGAGACAGGGCCTTTGGGGAGGTGATTAGGTCATGAGAACACAGTGTGAAGACACCTATATGAACCAGGAAATGGGCCCTCACCAGACACCAAATCTGCTGGCACCTTCATCTTGGACTTTTCAGCCTCTAGAACCATAAGAAATACATTTCTTTTGCTGATAATCCACCCAGTTTATATTTTGTCATAGCGCCCAAATGGACTAAGACAGATGTGTGATTATCTTCAACTGCAGATCTCGATCTCTCTGTAGGGTCCCCACGCCTCCTGTGGGTGGTGGGAAAGTGAGGGGTGCGTGGGGCTCCCATTGGTCCTAAGATGGAACTTGGTGTTCAAATAGGGGTTGCAGCTGAGTCAATGTGGAGGTAACTGGAGCAGCTGCATCTCAGCCCAGTGAAGGCTGAGAAGTGTGAACATATAATAAAAAACGCTCTGGAAAGTAACAGAGCTGGTGGGTGTAAGAAGAGGTAAGAAGTCTTCTGCAGAGGGAAGAGCTTGTTAGCCCTCTGGCCCTGGGCTAGGGGAGCCAAGGACAGATGCTGAATGTGGAGAAATAATTCTTTCATGAGTCCAGCATGGCCTGGCATTCCAACTGCTTGTTTGTCGATGGGTTAGAAATAAAAAGCACTGTTTTGGGAACACAGATATTGGACTTAGGAAGACCTGGTGTTAAAATTCAGTTAACTATAGCCTCAAGTAAGTTTCCAACTCTGACTCTTGGTTTTTGCTTTAGAAAGTAGGAACACTGATAAACTCCTATAGAGTTGTACAGTGGCTTAAAAGAGAAAATGTATGTAAAGCGGATAGTTTGGTGCTGTTAGTATAATACAATAGTTAGTAAAATAACAAAAGCTTTATTCTTGCTCTAACATGACTCTGCCCCCCGCCAGCTGTGAGCCTTTGGGCCAGTGAGCTCATCCCTTTGGGTCTTGGTTTCTTCATCAGGAAGGTGGACCAGGTTGGTTTGCTTTTGACTTTTGAGCGGGGTTTCTCCAACTTGCACGTGCAGGAGAATCACTGGGGATCTTGCTGAAAGGCAGACCCAGCTCCAGTAGGGCTGCGGTGGGGCCAGAGAGTCTGCAGGTCCGAGGAGCTCTGGGTGCAGCCAATACTGCTGGTCCATGGGCCTCAGTTTCCACAAGGGTCGTCAGCTGTCATGTTTCACGTGCTGTGAGTTTATTTTTTAAAAAACCCAAAATTTGACCTCTCAGGCTCTGAGTAAATGAGATGGAGTATTTTTCAATGACTAGAGAGTGTGGCAAAGAGACGTGGAGGGTGTCTAGAAGGTGGAGGATTTAGGCCCAGGGAGCCAGGAGCCAGGGTCTGCTGCCTGTCAGGAGGGAAGGTGGTAGGTGTGAGGGTCAGGGTGGGGGTGGAACAAAACCAAAGAGGGTTGTGCAAGGCAAATTGCATCTAATTCCCTATTGTGTTTAGTGTCTAATTGGGACTCAGCAGAATAATACAAACCCTGTATCTTCCTAGTACTTTTCAAGGGAAGCCACTCTAAAACTTCAGTGTTTCTGAGTTTAATCCATTACAGGTTCCTATACTTAATGAAATTACAACAATTCAACAAACGATATAATTGCCCTAAATACTGCTTTAATATAATTATGTGTAACTCACTGGGACATGCTATTGCATTCTATAATATAATTATGACATATAACGTTATCATAAGATTCCTATCAAATGCATGCAAGGAATGTAGTTTACATCTTAATCAGGTGTCAGTGTTTCCATCTGACAATGTTCTGATTTAACAACATGATAGGAATGTAAAGATACATTTCAGACAGCTATAAGCAATAAATGAGACCATCCAAAGGGAGGAAGATTAAGGTCCATGTTTCTCAAAGTGAGGCCTGTGGGTCACCTGCATCTGGATTCCCCAAGCACTGGTTCAAACGCAGCTTCCTGGGCTCTTTGCAGCTCTCACTGAATCAGAAGACACAGGGTGGGAAATATGAACTTTTAAATAAGCACCCCTGAGGCATTCTTATGTACCCTAAAGTTTCTGACCTGAATTTGTCCCTTTCTAGATATCATCTGGGACCTAGGCAAGGGCCAGTCTGGCCAGGCAAAGGTCTGGCTGGGCAGAAGGACCCTTGTGATTTTTGTACCCAGGCATCTGGGTCTGTGCAGCCCCCAGAGTCCTCTTGCTCAGATGTCCCATCCTTATGCCTGCTCTGCTGCCTCTGCTCTCCAGACAGGTCATGGCATCACCATCCACCCAGGAGCCCAGAGGCAGACCTGGGGTCCTGACTCCGCGTTCTGTCCATTTCATTGATTATTGAATCTGATCAATTTCACCTCCTAAGTCATTCTTTTTTTTTTTTTTTTTTTTGAGACAGAGTCTCCCTTTGTTGCCCAGGCTAGAGTGAGTGCCATGGTACCCGCCTAGCTCACAGCAACCTCAAACTCCTGGGCTCAAGCAATCCTGCTGCTTCAGCCTCCCAAGTAACTGGCACTACAGGCATGCACCACCATGCCTGGCTAATTTTTTTTTTTTATATTAGTTGCCCAGTTAATTTCTTTCTATTTTTAGTAGAGAAGGAGCTCTTGCTCAGGCTGGTTTCGAACTCCTGACCTCAAGCAATCCCCCCGCCTTGGCCTCCCAGAGTGCTAGGATTACAGGTGTGAGCCACTGCGCCTGGCCCTAAGTCATTCTTAAAAATATCTCCTTCCCTGGCCAGGTGCGGTGGCGCATGCCTGTAGTCCCAGCTCCTCTGGAGGCTGAGGCAGGAGGATTCCTTGAGCCTAGGCATTTGAGGTTGAGGTTGCTGTGAGCTAGGCTGATGCCACGGCACTGTAGCCCAGGCAATCGGGTGAGACTCTGTCTCAAAAAAAAAAAAAAAGTCTCCTCCCACTGTTTTCCTTCAAGTCAGGACCTTCATCATTCAATCATTAATCATTTATCCACCAAGTACCTACTGTGCTGCTGGGGGAGATAAGTTCTCGGGAGAAAAAGAAGCATGGAGGGGTTTGGGGGGAGTTGGCAGTTTGGGGTGGAGGGACGACATGACCACCAGGCTGCTGTGTTGATGGTGGACTGAGGACGGGAAGGGGCAGAAGCAGGGGGAACGGGCAGGACGCCACCAGCATGCCAGGCAAGGGGTCACGCTGGCGGAGAGTGGAAGTGGTGAGGAGTCGCTGGATTCTGCCACAGTCTGAAGGGAGAAGTGACCGTAGCGTTTGCTGAGTGGGGGCTGTGGGAAGTGAGAGAGGGAGATGTCAGGGAGCCACTGGAAGGTGTTGCTGCCATCAAGGTGGGGAAGGCTGCGCCAGGGCTAGGTTTGTGGTTGGAAGGAGATTAGGGCTCAGCTTAGCGCCTGTGAGCTCCATCATCTCACTGGACCACGCAATGGCCTCTTTGTTGATTTCTGTGCCTTAAGGATTATCCTTCATGGGGCTGCCAGAGTGTTCTATACAAAATGCATTTAAAAAAGCTTCCACTCTTCTGCATAAAACCCTTCAGTGACCCTCTGTGGTCTGCAGGGTAAGGTTCAATGGTCCGGGGTATATGGGTCTGTCTCCTGCCTGTCTCTCTAGTTTCGCCACAGTGCTGTACCCCGATCCCGATCTGCTAGTAACTGCCCTCAGCACGGGACATCTCTTCTCGCCGCCTTTGCTCGTGCCAAACCTTTGCTTACAACGCTTCCCCTGCATGTTTCTCGAGCCTGGTGTCTTAGTCAGCATTTTATCTCCAGCAACTAGTATAGTGAACTAAGCTAAAATTTTCACTAGAACTTTCTGGGAAGGATCTCATTGTCATATTATCCCCATATCACAGATGGGGAAATTGAGGCTCAGAAAAGCTAAGTAGTGACTGGAATTGAGCCCAAATTGATTATCCCAAGATCACAACGTTGAACGCAGATCTGTCGTACTCCAAAGATATTTTGTTTATTCAACTCCCTGCAGAACTACCTCCATTTATGCCTAGAGCCAGATCTGCCAGGCCTCCCTTTTCCCAGGGGTAAAGCCGGCTACTGTTTAACTACCGAATCAATACTTACGAATCTCTCACAACTGATATTCTTTCTGCAAGTGGTCCTTTTTGGGAAAAACAGGCAAACTGGTGAAAAGGTATGGCCATCCATCACCTCCCTGGCTAAATGATGAAGCAAAAAGTCCACAAAATAGTGTACAACTTTCTTTCCTATAGAAAAGATCTAGTATTTCATAATTTCCTTTAAAGCTGTCTGGTAAGCCATACCTTTTTGCCATTAAAAAATATGAAAACAATATTGAAAATATGGAAAATAAGAGAAAACTGTCTCCTACTCTAACATAAAAATAATTTTTATTTTTGCATATTTCTTTTCATCTTTGCTCATATTTATTTTTATGAGGTTAGATTACATGTACAATGATCAAAGTATTATCTTACTTAATATTGCAGCAGAAATATTTTCTGTTTCTATATTGGCTTTATATTTATAATTTAAAATCCCTGCATTCTACCCAAGCCCATGGATGTGGCAACATTTAGATGTTGCATTACCGTGTTTCCCCGAAAATAAGACAGGGTCTTATATTTCTTTTTCCTCAAGAAGACACCCTAGGGCTTGTTTTCAGGGGATGTGTTATTTTCCCCTCAAAGCCTCAGCTTGCAGCATGCACAGGATGGCCGGGACCTGACAGGGG